TTTGGCGGACAACCCCAGCCCAATGTGAGTGAACTGGTGGTGGGGCCACTGCCTCACCCCTCCTACATGCGGGATGTGACTGTGGAGCGTCATGGTGGTCCACTGCCCTATCACCGACGTCCCATGCTGAGATCTGAATTGGTACAGACATGGAGGCATTTGAAAGAGGTGGAACTACCCAAGGCACCTGTCTTCCTGGCTTCTGTCCTGAACTACAATGGCTCCACTTTGGCACCTCTACATTCCTCCCCTAGAGGTTTGCGCTCAGGGGACCGGGCTACCTGGATTGCCCTCTATCATAATGTCTCAGGTCTTGGTATTTTCCTTCACCCTGTGGGGCTGGAAATACTGTTGGATCACAGTGCCCTGGACCCTGCCCGCTGGACTGTCCAGCAGGTCTTCTACCTTGGGCACTACTATGCAGACTTGGGCCAATTAGAATGGGAGTTTAAAGCTGGCCGGCTAGAAGTGGTTAGAGTGCCTCTACCCACACCAAATGGGTCTTCATCCCTCAGGTCCCGAATCACCCTGGGCCCTCTTCCCCCTCTTCATTTCTCACACCAGGGTTCTCAGTACAGTGTACAAGGGAACTTGGTGGTATCCCCCCTCTGGACATTGAGCTTTGGCCATGGGGTATTTAGTGGCATAAGGATTTTTGATGTTCGGTTCAAGGGTGAGCGAGTGGCCTATGAAGTCAGTGTCCAGGAGTGCCTGTCTGTCTATGGTGCTGACTCACCCAAGACAATGATGACCCGATATTTGGATAGCAGCTATGGACTTGGCCTTAACAGCCGAGGCTTAGTACGGGGTGTGGACTGCCCCTATCAAGCCACAATGGTGGACATCCACATATTAGCAGGCAAAGGGACAGTCCAGCTGCTCCCAGGGGCAGTGTGTGTATTTGAGGAGGTTCAGGGACTACCTCTTCGAAGGCACCACAATTACATTGAGAGTCATTTCTATGGTGGTTTGGCCAGCTCAGCCCTTGTGGTCAGGTCTGTGTCATCTGTGGGTAACTATGACTACATTTGGGACTTTGTGTTGCACCCAAATGGGGCGCTTGAAGGGCGGGTCCATGCCACAGGCTATGTCAACACAGCTTTCCTGAGTGGAGGAGCAGAGAGCCTCCTCTTTGGTAATCGTGTAGGGGAACGGGTGCTGGGGGCGGTGCACACGCACGCCTTCCACTTCAAGCTGGACCTGGATGTGGCAGGTGAGTATTCAGGGTGTGAAAATTGAGGGGTGGGGTTAGGGGAGGGGAGGGAATCCCTTAGGTTAAGCTGAGGTCTCTGAACAGCAAGGCAACTATGCCAACTCCACAGTGATTATGGAAGGGGAGAACCTGGACTGTGAGTGTAGTCAGCTAGTCCACATCCGGGCTTCTGGGTATCTGGCCAAAGGTGTAAAGGGTTCTTCCACCCAGCCCCAACCTCCAAGACCAGCAGCAGTTGTGAAATTAGTTTAAATGTAATGTCTGCCTGGCTGCCTTAGCCTTGGGTGACACCTTGGGAGAGTGAATTAGCCCTGTCAGTTTGGATGGGGCTGGAGTTATGCACTTTGCTACTTGCTCAGTAATATTGAGAGTGAGTGGGGGTGGGGAGGACAGAGTTGAGCATAGGCAGAAAGCAACCTGGGGCTTGGAGGACAGGGTCTTATACTAGGGGTTTCTCCACAGTGCTAACTGGCCTTGTGGGGAGGGCTGCCCCATACGTGTCATCACAATGAACTAACTTTCCAGAGATGAGTCAGATATGTGATAGGCTTGCTGCAAGTGTAGAAAGGAATTCTTAAAGAAGACTTGCTGCTCTTGACAGATCTTTCAAGGACAGAAAGCAAACTTGTCAAATCACAGACTTAGACCCAGAAAGAAAATTAGATATCTACCAGCCCCTCCTCATTTTATAGTTGGGGAAATTAAGGAGGATGGGGCAGGAAGTGTCTGCTCAAGAATAATGCAGTAATAACTAAGTATTTCTTGTGAAACATTAGCCTCCTAAGTACAAAATCTGTACCCTGCATGCAATACAGGCTTGTGCTTGAGTTTGTGGAGGGGTGATGGGAGGAAAAACTCAAACCAAAACACATCTGAAATAATCATATTAGCTAGATTACTCTGACATAATTGGACTATGACTTTTCCAATTGGAAGTTTCACTTCAGTGTTTTTGGCATTAAAGAGCCTAATTTTGGGAAGTCAATTCAGGTAATGTTAATGTTGAGTTGCTAGTGTGTGCAGCCCAGCTGCTGCTGTGGGACCAGAAGTTGGTAGTTAGGTGCCAGCACAGAACTGCAGCTGGCAGAGGTGCTAGCCCCAGTGGAGTGCTTCACTGTCAGGTACCTTCCATAGGTCACATTTAAAGGAACTAACAGTCTCAACCTGAAGAGAGGGTGATCAAATACTGCATTGGGCAATGCAGGCTGTGGGTGCAATAGAATTCCAAGGCACTCCCAAACAAAAGACAAATCTGGCCGGGCATGGTGGCTCATGTCTATAATCCAAGTAACTTGGGAGGCTGAGGCAGGAGGGTCACAAGTCAAGGCTAGCCTGGGCAACTGAGTGAGACTGTCAAAATAACAAGAGCCATGGATGTAGCTTGGTGTGGTAGAGTGTCCCTAAATTCCATCCCTAGTACTGCAAGGAAAAAGAAAGAGTTACAAATCTGCTGGTTTTGAAAATGATCGGAAGCTTTCCCTACCTTGCTGGTAAAAAGCAGTCACAGAGCTTGGAGATCTGGGACTGTGGAAGGGGATTGAGTTTTCCTAACTAGTTTCTCCAAGACCGATTCCTTTCATAGTTAAAAGAATGTTACTACCCAGTTGCATGTGCTTTTCCATTTACTGGAAAAATAGCAATAAAACTGCTTTGATTATGCCTAGGGTAGAGATTCAGAAAGAATCAGAGAAGCAAATATTCTTCTGTATAAGATCTACTGGTGAGCTAATGGAACTTTCTGCGATGCTGGAAATGTTTGTTATCTGTGCTGTCATTATATACAAGAGCTGCTAGCCATATGTGGCTACCAAACAATGTAAATGCAGCCACTGCATCCAAGGAACTGAATTTTCAATTTAAAAAGCCACATGAGAATAGTGGTTATCCTACTGGACAGGGCAAGTTAGAAGATGGTGGGGTAACACTGTGCTAGCACAGGGTGGTACTCTCTGATGTCAGGCCAGTGCAGTTAGCATTGTGGGGAAGATGGGCCTGTCCAAACCACCTTACTTGGTATAGAACTCCTTTCCCTTCCCTCACCCTGACAGGGCTGAAAAACTGGGTGGTAGCAGAAGACGTGGTGTTTAAACCTGTTGCAGTCCCCTGGAGCCCAGAGCACCAGCTGCAGCGGCCACAGCTGACACGGCAGGTCCTGAGAAGGGAGGATTTGGCAGCATTTTCCTGGGGAAGCCCCCTTCCCCGCTACCTTTACCTGGCCAGCAACCAGACTAATGCCTGGGGTCATCAGCGTGGATACCGAATCCAGATCCACAGCCCCCCTGGCATACACATGCCCCTGGAGAGCAGCATGGAGAGGGCTCTCAGCTGGGGGAGGTGAGGAGGGCCCTGGGCAGTGGGTGGTAGGGAAGGACTGGCCCTAACTCACTACCCATGGCCTACCATTTATCCCTGGACCTGCCCTCAGATCCAAGTAGAAATGGGGTGGGAAGTGGACTCTCAGAATGTGATCCAAAGGACTTGTGGGCTAGTAATGGCTCTTGATATTTTCCAACACCACCTTCCTATGACAATTCCTGGTCAGATACCAGCTTGTGGTGACCCAGAGGAAGGAGAAGGAATCACAGAGCAGCAGCATCTATTTCCAGTCTGACATCTGGACACCCTCAGTTGTCTTCGCTGACTTCATCAACAACGAAACCCTCTTAGGAGAGGTTGGTAGCTGTAGGTTCAGGAGGGCTGCTCCTCTATGCCTGTATCTTGGCTGCCCAGCCTTTAGCCATAGGTTAGAGGGAATGGTTTCCATTTCTGATTTGGGGGCCAAGGAGTTTTCTGTTGACCAAAGTGGGTCATCCCTCCTAGGGTGAGATTAGCCATGGGACACTGCCCACTTTCCAGCTGCTGGGCAGAGGTGTAAAACAGCCTGAGGGAGTTGTGACTGAGGGGTGGTTCTTTGGGTTTTGCCTCCAAAGTCCTCCAGCTCTTCCTTTTTCCTGCAGGATCTGGTGGCTTGGGTTACAGCCAGCTTCCTGCACATTCCCCATGCTGAGGATGTCCCCAATACGGTGACTTTGGGGAACAGAGTTGGCTTCTTGCTCCAACCTCATAACTTCTTTGATGAAGACCCCTCCATCTTCTCCCCTGGCAGTGTCTACTTTGAGAGGGGCCAGGATGCTGGGCTCTGCAGTATCAACCCTGTGGCCTGCACCCCCAACTTGGCAGCCTGTGTCCCAGACCTTCCCCTTTTTTCTTATCAAGGTTTCTAGATCTGAGAGTAGGGGGGAACATAGGGGGTAGGGGTAGGGAGCAGCATCTGATGAGACACTTGCCTTCTCCATTCCCCCTTCAGTTCTCTGTATTTTTATCACATTGCTCCTCAGACTCTTTACCCTCCGTACTCCTTAGGGAATATCCTCCTCCCAAGCTATAAAATCTCCATGTGTCACTTTGGTTAATTCTTACTGTCTGCTCATTTTTTAAATGACAAATTTATAAAAACAATTTTGAAATATTCAAGCAAAAACACCACAAATCCCACCACTCAGAATTAGCTGATGTTTGCATCATACCAGGCATTCCTTTATGCATGTGTATTAAAAAGGAATGGTTGTTATGTGTAATTGATAATAAAAAGTGTTATAAGAATTTCACTTGAGTTTGTTCTGTTTGACTTTTTAAGTGTGTAGAGTCCTCTAAGGAATACTGAGGACTCGTGCCAATGAAATTAGCATTGGAGGAAAGAGTGTAAGGGGGGGTAGACCTGGCCAAGGAATGCTGCTTGGGAAGCTGAGGAGGCTGGAGGTAAGGGTTTGCTTGGGAGGAGAACAATAGTTCCTAGTTACAGGAAAGAGAACATCTGGCCCAGAGAAGGTGGGGTTTATAGAAGAAACCGGGCTCAGAGGCCCAGGGACTGCTGGGCAGACCCACCTCTTTGCTGGTGGTGGATTTTTCTGCACAAGCTCTCTTTCTCACCCTTCCGCCAGCCCCAGCTTTCCCCAACTCCAACCCTGACCTACAGACCAGAGTCTGATTTGGAGCCTGGAAAACAAAGCCATGTAAGGTCTGTGGAAATTGCTGCAGCCTGCTGAGACCGCCCCCCAACTCTGGTGTGCCCCTCCCCCCGCCCCACCCTGCCTGCCTCTCCTCTTCGGCAGCCTTCAGCCTAAGCAGCTGACTACCAGGAACTGCAGCCAGAGTCCCGGAGCCCCTGATCCAGCAGCCAAGAGAGCCCCTCATGCTTGCCTGAGAATATACAGATTCACACTGGTAGAATCCTGCCCCATCTCAAGGGACAATGAACCAGAAGACCACCCTGGTGCTCCTCGCTCTGGCCATCATCACCATCTTTGCCTTGGTTTGTGTCCTACTAGCTGGCAGGGGTGGAGATGGGACTGAACCTAGCCAACTTTCCCATTGCCCCTCTGTATCTCCAAGTGCCCAGCCCTGGACACACCCTGCCCAGAGCCAGCTGTTTGCAGACCTGAGCCCCGAAGAGCTGACAGCTGTGATGAGTTTTCTAGCCCAGAAGCTGGGGCCAGGGCTGGTGGATGCAGCCCAG